TTATAGCGATCCCCGACTTTTCTGCCGGTGCGATGGAGAACTGGGGTTTGATTACATTCAGAGAGACGGCTATGTTATACCACGAGGACGAGTCCACTTCGGCTAATAAGATGGCAACCATTGCGGTCATCGCTCATGAGATTACACACATGGTATGCAAACAAATCATATAATTTGAGTAAATCATACAAATATTAACAATAATATACAATTTAGTGGTTTGGAAATCTGGTCACTTGCAAGTGGTGGTCAGACCTATGGCTGAATGAGGCGTTTGCATCATATCTAGAATACGCAGCCGTTGAGTCGGTTGAGACCACTTGGAATTACGTGAGAATATGAGCAAGGTTTTAATTTTATATTAATATTAATTTATTTTCAAACCACTATTAGTTTGACTTATTCTTAATGACTGATACGCTGTCAGCGCTGACCGCAGATTCTTCGGCCACTTCTCACCCCATTGTAAGACCCGTGAGAGAGCCTGAAGAGAGAGCCTATACCAGTGCTATCGTCTATAATAAAGTATTTTTAATTAATAAATTAATTGTACATTATATATGATTTAATTACAAAATAATTGTCTGCATTAAAGGGTGCATCTGTACTACGAATGCTTGAGTTCGTGATGGGAACGACATCTTTCCAGAAGGCACTCACGGCATACATAAAGGCTAATGAATACAATGTTGTGGAAACAGTACAACTCTGGGATGAACTCGAAAAAGAAAATAATCATGTAACCGTAACCTTAATGTCACTTTTGAAAACTTTATCAAATGTTTAAACATTATGTGCGTACCGTATAGGCGGCAACTATTAAGATACACGATTTAATGGATAGTTGGACTACAAAAGCAGGCTTTCCGTATCTGAACATTTCTAGACTTGATCCAACGTCAAAAAATATACTGACTGTTACACAACAAAGATTTTTAGCCAATGGACAGACAATTGATTCTGAGTATATTAAAATTACGACTTTCTAATAAATAGATTTTAAAATTGTTTTGCATTAAAAACAGCACTGTCTGGTCAGTTCCCTTTTCATACTATAAATCACTAAAACCACAAAAACTTCCCCATTTGGAGTTCATAACCAAAAAAGAGGAGACAATTACCGTGGAAACTGATGCCAGTCTTAACGGTCTCTTAAAGATCAACACCAATAGTGAAGGCTTTTATTTAGTGAACTATCCGGAGGAGGATTGGGGGAAATGGATCGACGCGTTGGTCAACGACCAGAACAGTATACTGTCGGACCTGACGGTCAGCGATCGCACGAACTTCATAATCGACTCGTTCTACCTCTCGAGGGCTGGACTCCTGTCATATGAGACACCGTTAGCTCTGTCTGAGTATCTCAAGAGAGAGAAACATTTGACGCCATGGAGTGTTGCCATCA